TTAGGGTTATTGTTCTTGCTGAATTTGAATTTTTTTTTCTCTTTTTTGTGTGTTTTTTTCAATGAATGTTGAAATCAGGTGATGATGAAAGCTTGTTTACAATCAGATTTTATCATTCTGGATGGACGTTGGATTTGGGAATAAACTGCTATTATGATCCCAAAGTGGCACATGTAGATTATTGTAACTGTGATGAATTATCCCTACTTGAGTTAGAACTTATGGCTAAAGAAATAGGGATAGTGAAAGAGATTGTTGCTTTTCATTGTACAACAAGAGAGGTTAATGATTGCACCAATATTATGACCTTGGAAAGTGATAATGGTGTAGTTAAAATGGTGAATTGCATTGATCAAAACAGACTTGTGGGAATTTTTGTGGAGCAAGAAAAAGTGAATGATTCTGATGAATTCATTAAAAATCACCATTTACAAAGTCAAGCCTCAGAACTTCCCTCTGTAGATGAACTTTTGCAGTTTGTTGGTGAGAATGAGGGTAATGATGATTATGTTGAAGAAATAAATGATTTATGCTCAGAGTGGGATGATAGTGATGATGAACAATCTGTAGGTTCAGATTCTGAAATTTTTGAAAAGTTTGTTGATAGTGATTGTGAACTTTCTGAGGATGATGATGACTTGTATGAATTGATTGTTGATAAAGATGTTGAATGGGGAGGGGGTGGGGGAAAGTGTGACTCCAATGTTTCTTCCTCTTTTGGTATTTTCAAACCTACTGTTGGGAGCATTGCTTATCTTCACAAAGGTAACAGTGTATTCAATCCTTTGAAAGATATGGAGAACCCTAAGTTTGAGTTGGGCATGCATTTTACTGATTGCGAACAGTTTAGAAAGGTTGTAAGGCAGCATGCCATTGTTCTTGGGAAAGATATATATTTCAACATCAATGATAAGAATAAAGTGCAAGTGAAATGCAAACATAAGTCTTGTCCCTGGTTAGTTTATGCTTCTAAAGGGAAAAATGAAACCTCAGTTCAAATTAAAACCTTGTCAGGGAAGCATAAATGTCCTAGGGTCCAAAAGGTTTCACATGCAAATGCTAAGTATGTGGCTAAGTTGTATAGAGATAAAATTTGGAATGATCCCAGATGGCCAATTGATGCAATGATGAAAAGTTTACAAGTTGACTTGAAGTTGTGTTTTAATGCACAACAGTTGTATAGGGCCAAAAGAATGGTTTTGAAAGGGGTTGAGAACATTGATGAAGATCAGTTTGCAATGTTGTGGAACTATGCAGAAGAACTTAAAAAAACAAACCCAGGAACTTCTGTTAGGATCAAGTGTAAGCTAGTTGATGAGAAACCAATGTTTAAGAGATTTTATGTCTGTTGGGGGGCTTTGAAATCAGGGTATTTGTCAGGCTGCGGGCCTTTGATTTTTCTGGAAGGATGTCACCTTAAAACCACATTTGGTGGTGTCCTTCTAACAGCTGTTGGGATAGATGGCAACAATGGAGTTTATCCTTTTGCTTATGCAGTTGTTGAGAAAGAAAAGTTCAAATCATGGATGTGGTTTCTTCAACTTTTAGTGCAGGATTTAGAGATCACAAACTCTTACATGTGGATTGTCATGTCAGACAAACAGAAAGGTTTGATAGATGTTATTGAACATGTTCTTCCTGATAGTGAACATAGGTTTTGTGTGATGCATTTGTACAAGAACTTTAACGTGCAATACAAGGGTTTGGCTCTGAAAAACACATTCTGGAGGGCTGCAACTGCTACAAGGGAGGTTAAATTTTTTTTTTTTCCTATTTTAAATCATAGTAGCATTAAATGCCCCTAAAATTATGGTTTTTGTTGAATTCATGCATCCAAATTTACGTGTGGTTTTGAGGTGAAAATTTGAAATTCAAAATCTCTTCTCATTTTAATTACATGAAAATCGGGTTGCATTCAACAATTGGACCAATTTAAAAAATATTCCTTAAATGAAGGAATTTATAGATAATTGTTATCTCTACTCAATCACATGATTATTTTCAATATAAAAAGAGACATATTACAAATTAGTGAATCATATATTACCAAATTTAATATCTTAACATTAAGGAATAAATTCATAGTATTATGTAAATCCGTATTTCATATTATTATATCATTAATAATATTTTATATTATATTATCAAATCATAAAAAGATATTAAATCCATATATATTTTAAAAATAATAATCCATATAATTTTATAAAAGTTCTACTACACTATTTAACAGTATTTCTTTTTCTTATATAATAAAATAATAATTAAATATTATATAGTGAACAACAATAAGTAAAAATGTTACTTTCTCTTATATCAAGGGATAAATTTATATGCTAAAATTAAATTTTTATTAGTATAAATATTTTAGTTAGATAATATATTAATTATTTTACAAGCTAGCCCTAACATGCTCATATTTAATGTTCTGGCTAAAAAGACAACGTTGGTTAAAAGATGTAGAAAAAAACTTATAATAATCCTAATGTTTTTTAGACTTAAAATTGACTAAAAGAGGTAGAAAATAGATAATAACCCTATTATTTTTTAGACTTAAACGGGCAAGGGTGTGAAAATAACTCATTTAATATCTCTATCTCGTGCATCGCACGAGGTACGTACTAGTTTTTTTTATACATACACTATGAATGAGAATTCGATTGTAAATAGTAACAAAAAAAGTCAACTAGCATTTATTGCATTCTATTTTTGACAATTTTTGAATTTTCATTTTAAATTATTTCCAACAAATTGATTAGTTATATATGCACCCTAAATTCATGGGTTTGTGGATTTAATTTAGATAAATTTCGACTGATGCTTAACCATTTTGCAAAAGTCAAAATTCTTTCTCATTTTTATTAGAAAAAAAAAAAAAGAAACTGATTACCTTAAGATCGGAAATTTCGAATTAGGTCTTTTCCTAATTGCAACAGGTCAATTGTTTATTAAGTAAAATCGGATTGCATAGAAATCGGGTTAATTTAGGTAAAATTCGGCATGACAATTTTGTAAGTGTCAAAATTCTCTCATTTTTATTAAAAAAATTTGTTTACCATAAAATCGAGTATTTCATATTAAGAATAATACTATAACATATATCTTTACTTAATTGCAATAGATCATGCTTATTAAAAAAATCGGACTGCATAGAAATCAAACCCAATTTTTAATTGAAAATTAAATAAATAATCCCTTATTATTTAGCTGCTACTTTCTTGAGTTCGAATTTTTTTTTGAGACATAAAACAGATTCAGATAATATTAATTTAAAATTTAAAATAAAATCGGATTGGAACATCCTAAAAATTTGAGTTTTGTTTAATCTTATAGAATACAAATTTGAAATTGATTGCATACACTTCCACAATTTTTCCCTTCCTCAAATTAAGTAATTTACAATTTTAAAATAATAAGGTTATAGATTATCAAGAAAGACGTTTTACAATCCCCGTTATATTTTGCTATGCAATCTTCATAAAAACAGTATAAATCATGTCATATATATCATGTTAAATAATTTAATTGATTTATTTAAATCTATGTAGAATCATAGTATAATTTGTGGCTATTGACAATGTACCAAAAGACTAAATAAAAAATGTTGTGTACAAGAATGTGTTTAATAATATATAATTTACATTTTGTTTTATTCCAATACATGCTGATTGGTCGAAAAAAGTGTGCATTTTATATATTTATTAGCGTATTTTTATATGCTTAATTTTTATCGCACTTATATGTTTTTCGGCTTATTTATTTATTAGATGAATTTGAGTGCTATGATATTTTTATGTTTTAATTTCAGGATATTGGTTCATTTTCGTGGGTTTTACATGGTCAAATATAATGGTTGATTTGGTGGAATAAGAATTGAGCTCAAATAGAGCTCAAATAGCAATACGGTGAAGAGCTTGGTGTGAATTGGAAATAAATTGTGGGCAAGATGTTGTATGGCTGAACAATCCAGAAATTGATCAGAGTTCAATTAATTACATTGATAACACTATTGGGCCTAATGGAGTTTCAAAGAGAGAGAGGATTTTGAGGGCTGAAGACTTTTGCTTGGGAGATTTATTAGAGGTCCACTTTGTTTATTAAATTAAGAGACTTAAGCATCAGAATTGGAGGGCCGCAGGTAGAATTCACGCAAGCCACAGCCGTCCATCATCATTATTTATAGAAGAGAACCATACGCAGCAAGGGGGATTCACGCCAAAAGAAAAAAGGGTTAATTGCCTTAAAAATCATAACCTTTCGTTAAATTGCAAATAAATCTCTATCTTTTCAAATTGGCAAAAAAATACCAAACTTTTATTAAACGTTGCAATTGTGTCTCGAACACATATTCCGGCCAATACACAATGACGTGGCGGATCGGAAAACTGACATGGCAATTATTGGTGACACATCAATATTACAAGTGGACTTGACAATATACCCCTTCCAACTAAGATATCCCGTCGTTTGTGAATTAATCACAAAAACCCCCCAAATTGAGCCCGAATTCTCAGAAAAAAAGAACAGAAACGCGCATAATGCGAAGGGACATTATTTTTGGTTAACTTCATCCACATAATGTGAGAAATCCTAATTGCCAATGTTACTGAACTGAGCCAGCAATAACCAAACTATCTGAATAATGATGGAACTAATTATAATATTTTTCATTAGCTTTACGCATAAACTGCATCAACATTTCGAACTCGATTTGATCAACATCCACATGAATTCATCAACAATTGGGAGAATTCGAACATATTTTGAAGAAAGATCATACCTGTTAGGGTTTTGTTGCTCAAAGATTTTAGGGTCTGGAGTCGAAAGGAATTCCTCAAGCAAGTAATGAACTCGATTTTTTGGTTCTAGAATGAAGAGCTGCGACAGATCGGCAGATTTTTGAGTGAATCACCGAGAAGAAAGATCCGACCGTCTAGATCCCGCCTTGGGATTACCATAACGCCGAAGATCCGACGGCCCACGCCCACTGCGAGAGGGCAATGGCGGCGCTGCAGCGCTACCTGCCGTCAAACAGGGACGATGATGGGGACACGGCGGCGGGGGATGCCGCCGACGAGTTCGACGTCCCGGCGGATGCCTTCTCGTAATCGCCAGAGAGAGAGAGAGCCGCGCGACGAATTTCTGTTCTTTTTTTTTTCTGAGTATTCGGGCTCAGATTTGGGCTTTGGTGATTAATTCACAACTGACGTGGCCGTTGAAGTTGTAAGGGACAGTGACGTGGAATCCTACATGTAAGATGACGTCACCAAGAATTTGCCATGTCAGTTCTCCGATCTGCCACGTCATCGTGTATTGGCCGAAATATGTGTTCGAGACACAATTGCAAAATTTAATAAAAGTTTGGTATTTTTATGCCAATTTGAAAATGTTGAGTTTTATTTGCAATTTAACAAAAGGTTATGATTTTTAAGGCAATTAACCCAAGAAAAAAAGCCGCCACACAGAGCCGCAAAACAGAGAACGTAGCATACGCACATGAACATACAGAGATACGAGGAAGCAGATTAATCGCGGAGGGAGGCCGCACCTACACACGAAAGGGGATATTCTTATTCTCTTTCTTTTATTTATATTAGTATGATAGCTTAGATTTTATTTCTAGTTCTGGGGAAGTCGAACCCTACGATTGACTATGTTTTGATTAATTTATATGGTTGATGATTTCAATATTTTATTGGAATTGCTTGTGTTATTTTGAATAATTCACCATGATGTGTTTAGTCTTGTTTAGATTGATCACCTAGATTAGGCTTTTCATATCTACATCTGAATTAGACCTGCAATCCGTAATTGTTGTTGTGTTTAATTCATAAGATGTAACTGGAAGATGGTAACTACCGGGGATAACACGGCCTAATTAAGCGAACGAACGCGGTTGAGTTCACTAATTAGTCTAGCCTATTTTACTAAATCGTAAAGCGGCTAATTGTATTAAATCTTGAAAACGTTTTTCCGGACTGTACAAGAAGTCAGGTTTAATCGTCGAGCGTCTCGCGGTTAAATTAAAATTAAGGAAAAATTCGGGTAACAGACCGTGTCGTTGCCTAGGGCTAGTAATTTCATGAGATAGCGAGATTTGATACTAAAATTGATTAGACGAGTCAGTCGAAAGTGTAGACGGAACCGTGAGCTAGAAAGTTCTCTTCATTTATTTATTTTTATTTTTATTTTCTTGTTTAGATTTTATTTATTTCATTAGATTTTTAGGTAGTTTAGTTATTAAATCAAAACTCCCCATTTTATCGCTTTTTATAATTTCAATTAATATGAGAAAATTCACGATTTGATTCACACTCCTCGTGGGATCGACCCTTGCTCGCCACTACTACTAGTTAGTAGGGGTTAGTTGAGGAAAAATATAAATATTAATTTTGCCGCGTTGCGACGCGCGGTCAAATTTTGGCGCCGTTTCCGGGGAGTGGCGTTATTGAATTGTGATTTTTGAGTACTAATTGAATTATTTTATTTATTTTTTTTAGGATTTTATTTTATCATCTTTTACTCCCTTTTTCCTTCTTTATTATTATTATTTTTATTTGTTGGCAGAATACTGGGTGCCTCCATACTCTGCTGGACAGAACAGTTCGCCCCCATACTCGCGGGATTGACTAATTTTTGGGCGATAATTTGCGAGCTTTGAGCAGCTTTTCGAGATGGCAGCCTATTATCACGACTTTTATACCCACCGTGCACCTTACCAGTATGAGAGGGAGATACGAGGCCCGTGGATTGGAGATCGAGGCGTAAGAGGACCTAATGGTTGGCGAAGATACGAGCAAGACTACATGTATCCCGAGGAGAACGAGTACGGCTTGAGAGAGCACTCGAACTCTTTCCATGGGTACTCCGAGCCACCAATTGCGCGAGATCCCAGCCCATCGCTAGAGGATATGGTGAAGGCACTAGAGGCTCACACATTGAGATTTCGGCAAGAGTATTGCGAGCCAATAGTTGAGAGAGATCCTGGTCCGTCTCTCGAGGAGATGATGAAGGAGTTGACGGTTCACACTCTTAACTTTCAGCAAAGTGTTGAGGCTAGTATCAAGAGCCAAGAGACGAGCATCAAGAGCCAAGAGATGAGCATCGAGAACCATGGACTGCGCATCAGAAATTTACAAGGCCAAATGAGCCAATTGGTGGAACAAATGGACCGACTAGTGCATCGGCTGGAAACGAGTCCAATGAGTTCGAGCGTCATCCATTCATACAGCGAGGACCTCGAGGGACTTGAAGAGTGTACACACGAGCCGGAGAATGAGAAAATCACGAATATCGAGAAAAATGAGAGCGAAAAAGAGAACCAAGCTGCAGAATATGGGGCTGAGTAGCAGAATACAGGGGTACCCCATAGAGTTTGAGTTCTTAGATTATTGCATGATATTTGTTTGTCTTGTGTGAGCATGAGTAAGCATGTACGTGGAATTTTGCAATGATGACATGAGAGTCAGTTTGGATTTATTGTGCTAGTTTAAATGGCTTGAGTTAATTTTATTTGATTAAATTCTTAAGATGTTTTATTTTGGGGACAAAGGCATGAAGGTTGATATTTTTGTGATTCATTTATGGTGAGTTGGTTTTGAGGCGATTTGTATTGTTGATATGTGCTTGTGATTGCCTTAATCAATGTTGATTAAGTTTGGGGACTTGAAGTTGAAAGTTGGGGTTTCTATGTCTCCCATGGGTTGTGACGGAGCTGCCGTTCCCTACTTCTAAAAAAAAAAGAAAAAAAAAGAAGGAGAAAGAGACATGTTGACTTCGGCTAGAAACGGAAGGAAACTTGACTTGTTAGCAAAGAGAGGGTGTCATGAGTTGCATTGATCGGTGCATTTGTTATAAAGATTGACAAACTATGGTGGTCACTTGGATTGATACTTGATGTGTTTGCGTTCTTAGAATAATTTCATCTTGAGTTTGAATATATTAATTTGAGTTGTTTGAACTATGCACTTATGTGAGAATTGTGAGGCTTTGAGCAAATATTTCACGTACTTGTGGATCCATCTTTGTGATTATAATTCTAAGTTGCTTGGGGACAAGCAACGGTTTAAGTTTGGGGAGATTTGATTGGTCGAAAAAAGTGTGCATTTTATATATTTATTAGCGTATTTTTATATGCTTAATTTTTATCGCACTTATATGTTTTTCGACTTATTTATTTATTAGATGAATTTGAGTGCTATGATATTTTTATGTTTTAATTTCAGGATATTGGTTCATTTTCGTGGGTTTTACATGGTCAAATATAATGGTTGATTTGGTGGAATAAGAATTGAGCTCAAATAGCAATACGGTGAAGAGCTTGGTGTGAATTGGAAATAAATTGTGGGCAGGATGTTGTATGGCTGAACAATCCAGAAATTGATTAGAGTTCAATTAATTACATTGATAACACTATTGGGCCTAATGGAGTTTCAAAGAGAGAGAGGATTTTGAGGGCTGAAGACTTTTGCTTGGGAGATTTATTAGAGGCCCACTTTGTTTATTAAATTAAGAGACTTAAGCATCAGAATTGGAGGGCCGCAGGTAGAATTCACGCAAGCCACAGCCGCCCATCATCATTATTTATAGAAGAGAATCATACGCAGCAAGGGGGATTCACGCTAAAAGAAAAAAAGCCGCCACACAGAGCCGCAAAACAGAGAACGGAGCATACGCACATGAACATACAGAGATATGAGGAAGCAGATTAATCGCGGAGGGAGGCCGCACCTACACACAAAAGGGGATATTCTTATTCTCTTTCTTTTATTTATATTAGTATGATAGCTTAGATTTTATTTCTAGTTCCGGGAAAGTCGAACCCTACGATTGACTATGTTTTGATTAATTTATATGGTTGATGATTTCAATATTTTATTGGAATTGCTTGTGTTATTTTGAATAATTCACCATGATGTGTTTAGTCTTGTTTAGATTGATCACCTAGATTAGGCTTTTCATATCTACATCTGAATTAGACCTGCAATCCGTAATTGTTGTTGTGTTTAATTCATAAGAGGTAACTGGAAGATGGTAACTACCGGGGATAACACGGCCTAATTAAGCGAACGAACGCGGTTGAGTTCACTAATTAGTCTAGCCTATTTTTCTAAATCGTAAAGCGGCTAATTGTATTAAATCTTGAAAACGTTTTTCCGGACTGTACAAGAAGTCAGGTTTAATCGTCGAGCGTCTCGCGGTTAAATTAAAATTAAGGAAAAATTCGGGTAACAGACCGTATCATTGCCTAGGGCTAGTAATTTCATGAGATAGCGAGATTTGATACTAAAATTGATTAGACGAGTCAGTCGAAAGTGTAGACGGAACCGTGAGCTAGAAAGTTCTCTTCATTTATTTATTTTTATTTTTATTTTCTTGTTTAGATTTTATTTATTTCATTAGATTTTTAGGTAGTTTAGTTATTAAATCAAAACTCCCCCATTTATCGCTTTTTATAATTTCAATTAATACGAGAAAATTCACGATTTGATTCACACTCCTCGTGGGATCGACCCTTGCTCGCCACTACTACTAGTTAGTAGGGGTTAGTTGAGGAAAAATATAAATATTAATTTTGCCGCGTTGCTCGCCACTACTACTAGTTAGTAGGGGTTAGTTGAGGAAAAATATAAATATTAATTTTGCCGCGTTGCGACGCGCGGTCACATGCGTTTTACGTTTTTCCAATCATCCAAATCTAAATGCTTGCCTTAATAAATCTAGTCCGTGCATCACACGGGTACCACACTAGTACTATTTAATGAGCATTTATAATTTATGAATATTAATGAATATTTATTATTCGTGCATCGCACGAGATTCGTATTAATTAATAATAATTTGCGTAAACATAAATTTATTTAATGTTGTTTCGATGGGATTAAATTAAAAACCTGGTATCAAGCCCTAAACTAAAATAGTTTCGTTCCACAAATATATGCGTTGGAAATTATACATGTCAGGAACTAGTGGCCCAATGTGGCTCTTCTTCATTGAATTAATGACACCCTCCATCTATATATTTAAACATTTTATATAAATATACCCTCTTATTATTTAGACAAAATTACTTCTTTCTTTTACAGATATGTCTTTTACATGGATCCATGTATCCTTTTTTTTGGCAGATTTTTATTTATTTTTAATTTTGTTTTGGCAGTTTTCTAGGTTCACGGTTATTTTTTTTAGTGACCTATATTATCTCTTGTATTTATCTTTTCACAACCCTGCCCCTTTCTGTATCTCTTATTTATTTGGAATCTCAATACATCCTCGTGTTCTCTTTTGGAGGTGACCCATTTCAAAGAAGGTTATGAAATACAAACTGACGATGAGGGCCACGCGAAAGGGCTAATTGCCGAAAAGGAAGAGGGCCGACGAGTGGCCTTAAAACCGAGTTTGAGGTGGGCGAAGAATTGTGCTTATACTAAGCCGACCCGAACTTCGTGTCAGTCCGAATTCGGGAGAAAATTAAGCGGGTGGAGGAGATGCGCCAATTTGAATGTGAAATTGTCGAACAATGGCTTCTGGGGCAGAAAGATTGAGTTTTTATGGTAGAATGTAAGTTTTAATTTTTAATGTATGTAATTGATATTGCGCATAACGTATTTCATATTTGATTTGAGAGGAACTTTCGGTGATTGTGATACATTTACGATCTTAAAGTGTTTTTGTTCTCATTTTATTAACACAAAAAAGAGAGCTTTTTTTTAAGTGTTGGGTTGATGGATAATGTGAATTATGAAGTGGTGATACAAATCCTGTCAATGTTAAATTTCAAGTTGCATTTATTACATTGTTTGCATCACTGTAAAATGTTTTGATTCTGAATTGTTATGTAGTAACAGTTTATAAATATCTCAAATGGGCTTTTCATTCTGAATTGTTACACAGGAACAATTGTTTTTATGTTTCTTAGATGTTGTTTTTTGTTAATTAACTGTTATTATGTTATTTCTTTGGTGTTACATCGAAGATTTTTTATTTCTTCGTATTCATCTAATTTCTTGAATGAATATAATTTGTATATATGCATTCTATTTTATAACTATCATTGTTATTGTTAACTTAATTTTGCAAATTTTTGTTGCTTTTTATTTAATTTAATTATTACGTATGTATGTATATATATATATATATATATATATATATATATATATATAATCAATTGCTTTTAAGTTTAGACATTTATGTTTGAGGAAGAGAAGAAGAAGAAGAAGAGCAGTTACAAGAATCGGAGTAGTTTTGGAATTGTAGAGAGTGTGTATTTCTTATGGAATGTTTTTTTAATAGAGTGTTAGTTATGTATTTTTCCCTTGTTCATTTTATGATATGAAACATGGGCTGCTGGGCCAGTACAGTCAAGTAAGTTTAACTAGGCTCATTATTATTTTAATGAAACTTTCCATTCTAACGTAATTAATCTCTTAATTCTCTGACAAAAAAGAAGAGAAAACATTCGGTACTTACTATTGCTTCATTTTCTTCAACAATGAATCAAAGAAGTTCCCGTTAGTACAAATAAAATAAAACCAAAATTGAGATATAAGAAAACAATAATATACATGACAAAGATTTTGTAATAAAAGTATACTAACCAAATATGGAGTTAACTATTGTAATATCTCTCTATCAAATTTATACTAGCTAGCTAGCTAGTTCGGGTCGTGTGAATCAGCCTTCACTGGAAACTGTGGTTTCGTCAACTTTCGGCAAGCCGACCTCAATATCTCCACCGGCCTTGTTAGCATCGAAAGTTCCGTCTTTGAGCGATAGCAAAACTGCTTTTATGTCTTTGCGTTTTCCCCACAAAAACGAGTATAATCCCATGATAATTAAACCCATGCCCAACAAACTGCAAATTAACAAATTACCATGCGTTTTTGCATCAAATCCAAATATTTATCTTTGTATATATATATATAAGTAATATAAAATATAAAATGTTTTTATAATAATTTACAAAATTGTATATTTTAGTGTGTGTGTGTTTGTGTGTTTTAGGTACCTTCCAACAGAGATTTTTTCACCAAGGAAAATGGCTTCAACAATTGCAATTAAAATGAGGGCCAATGGATTGAACATTGAAGGATATGTGGGCCCTCTTTGCGTGATGGTCCATGAGATCAAACAAAAGGATGCTGCCGTGGCAAGTACTCCCTATTATTGAAAGTACAAATTAACATATTAACTTAATTTATTATTGGAGTAATGTATAATCTACAGAGTTAATTAATTAATTAATTACCGAGTAGACAATAGTGACAAGCTCGAGGTCGAAGCCCAATTTCCAGGCATTTGGGTCCCTATCCATATAGAGCCCAATCACGGCGGCTTGGACCGACGCTATGGCACACGTCAACAAATTTGCCCAGTATTTATACGGAAATACTTTGAATAGCTTCACCTAAAATAAAAATAAAATAAATATTATTTCCTAGCTATAAGAAAAGTTTTAATTGCATAGGCAACTAAAGGTTTAAGGTTGTTTTGTATAACAGTTGGATAATTATACTTTTATACTTGTAAAAGGAAATAATTGATCCGTCATCTCACAATTTTTTTTTTTTAATTAAAATTCTTTGTCACCTGTAGAATAAACCAGATGCCATAGGACAAACAGCTCGCGGCCAATGTGATCGTGCCACGTGTCATGTGTTTCTGAGTCTTGATCAAGATTGTTGACTCGTGGTTAAAATAATGACCAAGATGAAATGATTTTCCCTTATAGAGAGTAATTGTCAATGCCCCTGCAAGGCATAGAATTGCCCCAAGAGTTTTGATCTTGCCAGCCATTGTGTTAAGTCCTAATCTCTCCACCCTATAATTAACAAATAAATAACTTTATTATTAGTTATAACCAATCAAAATCTATAAATTAATTCTGATTTTAAAGTGATTTAACATATATATGAGATGTATGCGGGATTTAATTTAGATTACATATGCACCTAAGAATTATCGAAAAAATGAAAGTAACAACAGGAATAAGATTTAGAAAATTAGTAGCATATGTAGCACTCGTGTCCTTCAAGCCATAGTAGAATAGTCCCATCGCCATCGATATCCTGGATTTATATGTTGATCTTGGTTAGACTTAATCGGCACAAAAAAATCAGGTATGAATTTTTACATAATTGAGAAAAAAAAAAAAAAAAAAATCGATTTGGCAAGTGTATTTATATATACACATACAGGGAGTGGTTCAAATAAAAACCTTTTCTGGTGTGAGAACCGTGAGAACCATATTTGATGCTATTTTTAATTGTGTATGATGCTATTTTTAATCTTACATGGTGCTATCATTTTTACAAATGCTAAGTTGCTATTTTTAATAAAATACATCCTGATTAAAAGTAGCACTAAATACAATCAATCATAGCACTACATACAATTAAAAATAGCAATTCTCACGGTTCTCACGCTAGGACTTGGTTCTCATTTGAACCACATCCTACACATACATATACATCCTTGACACTGAAAACTTTCTACCTTAAAACTGTGAGATAATTAGAATAACAATTTTCTACTAATATCACTCCAAATAGTACGTAATATGATAAAATTATTATTTCTAAATTATTGTTTACCCAGTTAGTGCCACCATGAAAAGCCAAAAGAAAGCTGCCCAGGTAAGTTTCTTCAAAGCACCTCTGCATAATTAGGATGCCAAATAATTATATGATATTTTTTTTAAAAAAAAACAAATATTTTGAACATATGTAGAGGTAACATTTGGATACAAAACATGCTTTCATATGATAGTAAAAAAATAATAATAATAAAGAACCAGCAATATATAAAAATAAAAATAAAATAAAGAACATGTAAATATTATTTAAGCTAACCTTTCAAAGTAAAGAGCAAAGGGAACTATACTTAGAGCAGCAATAACATGGCGATAAGTCATGAGAGCAAAAATAAACGTTCCCTCGCTAATTATAACCCTGGAGAGTATTTGCAGTCCTGCTGTTATCACTTGTACCGCGAGCATCCCGAGCAGTACTCTTGCATTCGTTAGTAATCTCTTCATACCCATACCTTAAATCTTTAAAATGTGAAAATCTATAAGAAGCTTATTAAACTGTCGAACTTATGTTAGAAGCTATTAATTAATTTTTGTCATGGCCCCTTTTGCTCTTATTTATAGTACAAGAATGCAAGCAGGTTTCGCATTATGGTCAATGCAAATCTCAAATGAAATAAGGTAAAGTAATGCCCATCTAATTAACATGTAACAAGTGTTAGGGATTTAAGCACTCGTGACAAGATACAGTCATACAGTGGTATTTATATATTATACCTTCATTTTCTACTCTAGTTAGAAACTTTTTTACTGTATTGATATGGTCTGTATTTTCTACTGTATTGATAAAAAAGTTCAAATAAAATAAAATAAAGTAATGCCCATCCAATTAATATAGAACAAGTGTTATGGATTTAATCGACAAGTGACAACGTACAGGGTATTTAGTATATTTATACCTTAGACTTTTCATTGTAATTTGTGGGAGAAAATTGCACCAAACCTCCTCTGTGTTTAACGAAATGTGCACGTTTCCCCACTGTATTTTAAAAATTGCACCAGATCCCCTTAAATACCCTTATATTTAAGTAACCGATGCACACGCTCCCTTGTCTTATTAAAAATTGCACCAGACCCCTTTATACCCCTTATATTTAAGTAACCGATGCACACGCTCCCTTGTCTCATTTTTTGCCGAAAATCCTGTTATACCCTCCGATTTTTTTTATGTATATTTATGAAATATTGAATATATCACGATATTTTAAAAATATCATGAGAAATTGGTTAAAAATATTTTGCAGACCATGGGGTTCGAAACCTAGCACCTCATGAGAGAGTAGGAGCCATGCTACCACAGTGCCAATCTAGATTGAGTGTTAGATGTAAGAATGTTTGGTATATATAGACATTATATATGTATAAATCAAATTAAATTTAAAACATAATGTGAATTATATCAAAATAAATTAATTAACTATAAACTTATAAAAAATTAAAATATAATCAACTAAATTATATATATTAAACTAAATTAAAGCAATTAAAATAACTTATATATATTTATAAAATAAATTACAGTTAAAATAATAATATTTGTTGTATTTAATTTAAATTATTTTCAACTATATTTTTTATTATTTATTTTAAATTTTATTATTTCATTTTGTTCTATCATAATATTCATTCTATTTCATATTATTTTATCTTACTCAATAAATTTTATTTATTTTGCTTGACTTAATACAATGATATAACAGTAAAATATATTTTACTAAACAAAATTTTGAAAATAAAATTATTTACTTTTATTCAAAATCATTTACTAAAAAATGATAATTTATTTCTATTTTTTGTTCATATTCTATTGTAGAGTAAATCCTACTAAAATTATTTGATAAATAATATTTTTTATTTTATTATATTAGTTTAATATTTTTATTTATTTTAATTTATACCTTTTATAAGTTATTTTAATTTAACATTTTTTATATTTTATTATCTTATATTATATTATTTTTGTGTAATTTAACTAGTCTACTTTAGTTTTATTCATTTTTTTATTTAATATAATAATTTTAATTTTATGTAAGTATTCATTTTTTAATTTATTATTATACATTTTTAAATTTATATAATTATTTTTATTTTTATAAGTAAAATTTATAAATTTATTTAATTTTAATTCCTGCTACTATAATTAACTTTATCTTACCTCATTTTAATTTATTTTTCATTATTTTTATTTTAATTTAATTTTATTTCAAGTTATATTATCATTATTATTATTATTATGATTACTTAATGTATATTAAATTTACCTATTATATTATTTTAATTTTATTTATTTTTAAACTTAATTTTATTATTATTATTATTCATTTCCAAATGTGTATAATTAATTTTATTCTAATAAATAGAAATATATAATTTATTTAATTTCAATTCGTGTTACTATATTAATATCTTACTTTACTTTTTACATTATTTTTATTTTAATTTAATGTTTTGCAAGCTGTTATTATTATTTTATTATTATTATTTAATTTTGTTTAGATTTACCTATTATATTTTATTTTATTAATTCGTTTGGAATTGATATTATAAATGTAGTTGTGTCAGTTTCTTACACAAGAATCTATATAGTCCACTGGTTTAGTGGGCAAGTTGTTCTCCTTGAGACTTGAGTTCAATTCCACCCCCGGAAGGTGTAGAATGTGTTGTTCAATTGGACGAAATTGGGGTATCGTGCAACAATTACTTAAATATAAGGGGGTCTGGTGCATTTTTTAAAACACAGTTGAAAAACGCGCACATTTCGTTAAATACAGAGGAATTTGGTGCAATTTACCCTAATTTGTAATAACTTTTTTATTCGAAAATGCTAAAATCCCGTTATGATACAATCTCGTCGGGTGTTTTAACTGTTGGATCATCTATCTTACCTAACTACATTTCCCTTTTTATTTACTGTATTGATATCAGTTGTAAATTGAATGCTCTTGGGTACGCGTTATTAGTGGGTTTAATGATACCAAAAAAAAAAAGCTATATGTGAATTAGCATGATTCTACTTCGAGTTATGATTTATAGTGCACCTTCTGATTTGACTTTATCATATCACTTATACATGTCAATCGTATTCGTATCGCCTAAATTACATAGCTTGAAAAAAAAAAAGAAAAAAACACAAGTGGTATGCTAATTTTAACCATGTTAAGAAAATTAGTTTAGTAATACTAATGCTTAGGAAAATTTAATCATTAGGGGAACATGTTTTTTCAATGGATTAATTGACCTTCTTCATAATGAAATGTCACAACTTAAACAATAACATATTTTACTGTTCATTATATATATATATACATATTTTTAACTGACCTTTCGATAAGTCGACGAGGACGGTGTTAAGGTCAATTCGGGTATCAAAACATTCGTTAAGCATGAATTAATTAAACATGCATTATGTATAAATTAAATATGTAGCATTTTGAACTGACGGTGTTTAAGGCCAGACAACGCCAATCAACGGCCGCGCGACCATGACACTTTTTAAAAAACGTTATAAAAGCAATAATAGCGACGCTTTTTTTAAAAATGTCGTTAAAAGATGACTTAAAAAAATGTCACAATGTTAACAAATAACGAGACATTTATTTATAAGTGTAATTAAATTATGACCTTTTTTTTATGAAAGTGTCCCCATATTAACTTAGATGGCAACATTCTTTTTAAAAACTGTAATTAAATAATGTCACTTGTTTAGATAGTATCACCTTATTTACACGATCAACAATAATGTGTAATTTTTTTATGTCACATATACATAAGAAAAGCTTAATTACTTAATTAATGATATTTTTAAATAAGAGTCACTTATTTTTAACAATATGGTGACATCTTTATATATATATATATATGTGTATATATTAAAAATAAAATCGTATAGTTTTAATAGATATTTTTCAGCTATCTTCACATAGTAAAATTAAATTTATTTATTTTTTTTTTATATAAAAAAACACTAGAGCAAATTTTTAATATATTAATATATTTATTAGGTTTATATAATCAGGGGAAAATGGTGCAATCCCATCAGATGAAGGGCAGCATAAGAGGGTGAGCCTAGTTGCACCTTAGTGTGGTTCCATCCCAAAACCAATCGATAAAGAAGGAATAGTCAATTCCCAAAACCCACCCGCCTCCGCCTCTTCCAATCAATTTGCCGATCGCCTTCCCCGGTGACTTTTAAGCTCCGGCCAATGGTCATCTCCAATCGCTCGAATCACGCCTGACTCGCGCTCCTCCGATGTTGCTGCAGGTGGTCAGAGCTGGGTGGTCGGGGCTCGGTTTCAGACTGGATCTCGCAACGTGGTGCGGCTTAATGACGGCGAACGGCCTGCGATTTGGTTGCCGGCCGGTCCCCAGCTGGAAGTCGTCAACAGCGAGATTCGCCTCCGGTCTCCGACATGAAGACTCCTCTCGTTGGCATCGCCTTCTCCGGTGGAGCTTCGGGTGGAGTTTGGCCTCCAGTTGCCGGCGATTTGTGGTGGCGCGGTGCGTGGGTTTGTGTGTGGAGCGGGGCTTGGGCAGCGCAGTGGTGGGGCGAAGCTTTAGCTGGGTCCTTTGCCATGGTTGCCGGAGCTGCGACGCGCCTCTCCCTCCCTCCCTGTCGGCTAGTGGTGATAGGCGGCGGGGGATTTGGTTCTTCCGAGCTCTCTAGTGGTGTTAGATGGGATCGGGTGGATCGGGTGGGGGTTGGTTCTTGTTCGCTCGTTTGGAGATGGGTCGATGCGGCGATTGATTCGGGGTTTGATTTTGATTACTGTATAGGCTTGATTGCAGTTTCGGTAGTCGATTCTCTTGCCTGGATTGTCTTGTGTCGATTGTTCACTATTGGTTAGGGCTTACTCGTTCGCTGCGGAAGGGCTTTTAGATTAGATAGTTTAGTGTTCTTGTGTTCGTGTTTTTTTGTTAGTGTTTTGTGTCTGTATTGGTTAGTTCTGGTCTGGTATTTTAGGTTTGGGTCACTTGGCCCCTGTGCGAGGGATTACTCCGTTGGAGTCGTCCCACATTACCTCGTTGGGGGTCATTCCACATTACCTCGTTTGGGGTCGTTCCGTAGTTAGGTTGTTGGTGTTGTGTTATTGTGAGTTTTCTTTCTAGCGTTGCTAGTCGTCTCTAGGCGGTCTTTTAGACCTGTCCTCCCAGTTTTATTCAACTGTTGGCTGTATTCTTCGGCCATGGGCTGTGTACTTTGCACATTTGTGCGTTTTTGTTATATAATATTTCTATCGTTTCGTCAAAAAAAAAAAAGAAGGAATAGTCCAATAGGCTTGTAAACTAGGTTCATTAACTCTGTAAAATCAATGTGGGACAACTCACAAATGATATTCTCGTATTCCAACAATATTTGACCAAAACATGCACTATTCACTTACATCACTTTTTATCACTTAATTTTATTGGTATAATTTTAAAATTTTATTTAATTACATATTTTAAAATACCTATCATTATTTTATTATTTTATATAATATAAACTTTCATTAATTTCTCTAAACACATTTACAATACCGACCAAATCCTTTAGGGCTACCAAACCTTTCTTCAAGTTGAGAATCCTAAAGAAAATCA